TAGTCAGCTTATAGTAAGCTGTACAAAGGTCCAAACATCTTCCTAGTAGCTACGTCGATCCGATGGAGTCAGCCAATCGAGCCTGCGGTAATAAGACAAAAGCTCAGTATCGCGTCTCAATCCAAAGATGTAGCGAACACAGGTGTTCAATAGTCTCCTGAGTTTGATGTCGACCGAGGTCTTAATGTCGGTGAAGGCGAGGCAGGCATAGTCCAGGTGAGGTAGAATAAATGTACTGACCAGGAGCTTCTTGATGTCAGGGGGCAAAAAGCCTGCTCCTGATCGCAGGCGGTGCAGTATGCCATGTACACGCGAACACACAGCTCCGATATGGCTTTTCCAATTGAGTGAGCGGTACATCATGAGTCCAACGTTCTTGACATTATCCTCAAATGGTACTTCAGTCCCACCAAAATCAATCTTGCCGCAGAGATCAAGTCTGATGCGCATCAAATACTGGTCAGAGGCGAACACTATTGCCTTTGTCTTGGCGACGTTTAGTGTTAAGCCGCTGCTCTGTGCCTAGTCCGCATTTTGGGCATCCTTATTTAATCTTGCAATCGATGAATCAATCTCGGAGGGGAGACACTGCAGGTATATCTGTAAATCGTCAGCAAATAGCATGTGTGTGGTGGTGCAGTGTCGAAGTGCGCGAGTCAGTGCATCAATGTACACAGCGAACAGAATGGGAGCAGGTGTCGATCCTTGAGGTACACCTGGTGTGTAGGCTCTGACGTCTGTCGGACACCCAGTATCATCCAACACAGCATGATATCGTTGCGACAGATACGAGTGAACCAGCATGAGGGCGCTGGTTGAAAAGTTCATTCTTTTGAGAGCCTGGAGTAGAATTTCATGATTTAGTGTGTCAAACGCACTTTTGAAATCAAACAACAGTAGTATGGTAACAAGTCTGTGCAGGTGAGGTAGGTGCGCGAACTTTACTGAGTGGCCATATGAATGACCTCTTCCAGATCTGTGGGTATCTGCCAGTAGAGATCGAGGAATTTACGATGGCGATAAGTGCAGGCATCAGCACAGCGAGAGCGTCACCGAAGTAAGCAAGCGACAGTCCATCACCGGAGCCGGTACCCACGCCTCGAGCGGCCTGGGTCAATGACGACAACACCTCGGCTGCCGTAACGCTACGGAAACGAAACACAGGCAGGTCATCATCAGCTTCCATGGCAATGATACGGTTGAAACTATCAGTGGAGCAGTTAGGATGAACCGTCGTCACAGCACAGTAGTGGTCGAGCAATTCATCTACAGCAAAAAAGTCCAGCGGGGAAGGAAGCTGGGGGCCAGAGACACCAATAAGCCGAAGGTATGACCACCGCCCTGCATCCGTATCACAAGCTCTCAGTCCATCCAGCAGGTATCTCTCTCGAGCTCTCTTCATTTCACACTTGACATCTAGACGCATTTGTCGAAAACTAAGCAGCAGGTCCGAGTCACGTGTCACCCTATAGCGTTGGTAAAGCCCATCGCGGGTCTTGCAATTTTCTTTCAAGGCTGGCGTGAACCAGGGAGCATGAGCAATACGCTCAGGGCGATTGTGTAGAGGCGCAAAAGCATCCAGCATAGTGTGTCCAGCATAGCAGAGTGCAAGCACTCAACCATTTCATCCGGGTCGGAAAGTCGAGAAACACCAGCAATTTCAACCTGCAGCTCAGTCGCGAACTCGGGCACAGCGATTCTACGTTTATCTATATACATCCCAACATCAGCGAGCGGCAAAGGTCTAACAAGCTCGTAATCAATCATAATCCAATCATGGCCAGAGGCAAAGGGCGTTGGAGATTTTCTGTCGGATACGACTCTCTCGGGCGAGTCGACAATGATGTAGTCGATGGCCGTATCGAAGGTAGCTCCGTGATTTGTGGCTCCAAAAGGCACGATATGAAGCGAGGCCTCCTGGACAAGTTGACGAGAGTGCACAGTCTCATAGTCATCAGAGAGCAGGTTTGCGTTGAAATCACCAGCCAAAATCACGCCACTGTATGTGCGATGACACATGGAGTGGTATAACTCAAAAAATTTAGTCAAATTAGCTCCGCCAGGTCTACGATAGACCGCACCAAAGAACAGCTTGCGTGCTCCACCGCCAATTGACAGCAGCAAACATTCAGTTTCATTGAAGTTCGCTATTTGAGGAGCATGCAGGACACGATAGGGAATCGTGTCGCGAATGTAACAGGCGATGCCACCCCCCTGCATGTATTTACGTTTTTTCTTTCTACTTTTCTTTTTTTTCTTTTTTTCTTTGGGTGCTGGCCGGCCGCGATCGTTTCTGACTAGAGTATAGCCAGGTATACTGCACGATGTCAATGGGAAATCAGAGGTCATCCATGTCTCAACAAGAGACAGCACATCGAAGTTGTGAGTGTTCAATACGTCCCTGACACCAGTAAGGTGATCTCTGAGTGAATTGACATTGAGATGCATAATTGTAATTTTATCGAGAGTGTCATTTATGCATTTGAGGTGAAGTTTATTTTCTTTTTTTAGTCATAAAAGACTTTTAATGTCCGATTCCGTGAGCAATTCAATGACACCGGCTCTGTCATTCGCACGCACACAGACGACCCCGTCGTGGGCCCAGACTTGGGCATAACCGCGCGCCTTCGCCGTGTCTTTTGTCTTGCAGAGCAAGTCATGCACGTAATGAGAGTGCATCTCAAAAACCTTCAACACACCAGATGCACCGGGGAAAAGCCGAGAAGCTAGCAAATTTCCATGTCTCTTTTTCAATTTTATCACATGATCGCGCATCACAGCCTGTTTATACTGCACGACCAGGGTCCGAGTTGCAGGGAAAGGCGCTCCAGAAGCACCAGCAGCTATTCGAGAAGTAGGTGAGTTGAGCCAGCAAATCTCCTGGATATCATCAGCGGTGTGGTCCGCTCCAAAGAGTCTGCTGTTAGGAGGTCTCGCTGCGCTCGGGCCCTAAACTACGCCGTGCCAAAAAGTGTTACTTATGGCACTTGTATCGAAAATTACTATTTTTAGCACAACTAAAAACAAGTCTAAGAGCAAAACAAGCGGAGCTCAACAATAACATGTCTACACTCGGTCAAAGAGAGCTCGATCAGTGAGATGTCCTCTGCTGAACACATGCAAGCTGTTCACCGGGTCTAGGAAAAGGAAAGATCCACCGAAAAATTTAGTATATATATCGGGCCAAAAATCAGCGTCACGGCAGAGCTATCTCAAACTTTACGAAGGGTGAAGCTATATCGGTTCAAATCAAAATTCATTATCGGTACTCAGTCAAAATTCATCAACAGGACTTAGTCAAATTTGAGCCGTACCAAGTGTGTATGTACATAAAAGCGAGTTGTGTATCCGCAAGTTGTGCGGAGCAAGTGTGTGTGTAGAAGCGAGCTGTGGGGAACAAGTGTATGTGTCAAAGCGAGTTGTGTGCAGGCGATAGTCATGGTGCAGTGTAAGCGCCCTTTGCCAATCTTCAGCAACACGGGTTGGTGGTAACCGCCCGAGTCCGCCGAGTGTCTGTAAACATCTTCGATCATCTCTAAGCTACACAGAGTCGTCCAGGAAGACTCGAAAGAAAATTATTAAACACCACTGACGTACTTTGATGTAAGCCATTGTCGGACCATTTATAAGCATCTCCGTTTTATTTTTAGTTTAATATTTAATAAATAGAAGTCTTGTGTGAACCCTATTCCATTTTGTGTCATTCATTTCTTCTCCCTCGCCCGCTCTAGAGACGGTAGTTCAAGTCGAGTCATTCTATCAGTATGGCGATGCCAGTAGAATTCGACGTGCCAGTGCTGAAAGATGTCGCTTCGCTTCGCTGAGCAGAAAGATGACACTTCGCGCTCGAAGCAAAAAGATGCCGCTTCGGCGCTCAGAGCAGAAAGATACCACTTTGGCGCTCGGAGCAGAAAGATAACATCTCGCGCTCCGAGCTAAAAGATGCTGCTTCGGCGCTCTATTCTGCAGCATGATATTTCTGCGTTTGTAGCGACACCATGATAACGTTACATATTACCAGTACATTCTTTCATTGAGTCCTGTGTCGCACTTGTGATTTGATACTAGTGTATATATAAGTTAGTTAAAGTAACTGAATAAACCCAAGTTTTTTTGTAATGAGTGCTTTGTTACCCTATAAAAAATTGACTTGGCTTTTGAACGTGTTTTTCTACGAAATGGCATTTTGATGTCCGCAATATTTCATTTCGATATTGTAATTATTTTTTTTCCAAGTATACATTCTACAGACGCCGAAAATATGTGATAGACCCATGCAATAAGTCTCTTTTCATTTTGAAACTTGGATTGAAAAAATTTTTAATAGAATATCTTTACCAGACTTTATTTAGAAATTATCGAGTTCATGTTTTAGAAGCAAAATTTAATGCTCTTTTAGAATCTGGTATTAGAATTGAAAGAGACTTGTTGCATGGGTCTAACTCATATTTTCGGCATCTGTGGAATGTATACTTGAAATTCAAATAGCTACAATATTGAAATTAAATATTGCGGACATCAAAATGGCATTTGTGACTCTTACTGTGTCAATCGAAATGAGAAAATTTATGAAAACCTCTATGCTTTATGGTTTTGTTGGTGCTCTTTTTAATGGTATGATCAAAAGGGATGAACTATAAACTTGGATCAATATTGATTAAAAAATATTGAAAACAAGATTTTGTTTGGCAAAGTAATATTCCAATACAATTATTATACAAGTTATAATAGATTGCCATATTTCGTTTGTTACTTCAAACAATTATCAGTGAATATTTCAAGGTAAGTTCGTTATAAACTTTTACTTATGTAATTTTTTGTTAATTAATATTAACCGTATAATAGACTTTGCGAGAACGCAGTGAAAAAAACACGAAATTTTGAGTTTTTAGAAAGGATAAGAAAAGAAGATAGGCAGTAAAGAAGGAATAAAGGAACAACAAAGCGAAGAAAAGAAGTTTCAGAGGTGAAAAGGCGAAGATAAGAAAGAAATTGGAAAGTGAAAAAAAAGGCGATGGAGTGAGGTTTAGGTCAGGATGGCGGGAGTCGGAGACAAAGGAATCGTGAAGAATCAAGATAAAACAGGAAAGGAAGATGAAGAAAAAATCAGCACGAGAAGTCGTGGATTAAAAAACGAAATGCTTAAGAGAAGCACGAACCAGCCTTTGATTGTGGACAGCTTGAGGAGGAAAACGGTGACTTTTTCCACAAACGCGAAGGACAGGATTCGGAACGGAGGTAAGGGAGGAAATAAGGGAGATAATAGTATTGTCAAGAAGCAAGAAAAAGTACCAGAAAGTGACAGTAAAAATAATAATAAAGAGGAGGATGAAGGTGAAATGGATCGAATGTACGAGAAGATGATGGCGTTGACGGAGCAAGTGGAGGCCCTGATGGAGAAGAGGAAAGAAGATGAGGTGATGTACGAAGACTTGATGTGCAAGAATGAGGCTTTAATGAACAAGGTGGAGAAATTAGGATATAGAGTGGAGTGCTTGGAAAATAAAGTGGTAGGTATAGAAAAGAAGATGACTGAATATGAAGAAGAAGTAAGATATTATAAGGAAGTGGTGGTGGACCTATTAAGCGAGAAAGTAGAGGAAGGTAGTGTAAATGACGCAGCCAGCGAAAAGAGTGTGGCCCGCTCGTGGAGGACCAGGTTAAGTGTAAAGAGCAGCACAAGCTGCATAAGTGGAATTAGTTTGTCGCAGAAAGAAGTAGTAAAAATGAAAAGGTTAGTAAGTGAGAAGGATAGAGATGAGCGTAGGCTCAATATAGTAATAAAAGGTCTTGGAAACATAGGTGAAAAGATAAAGGAAGAGATTGAGAAGTTTTTGAAGGAAAAGTTGGCAATTGAGGCAGGACTGCATGCAGCGTGGAGAAGTGGACAAGTCGTGGTTGGAAAATGTACAAGTTATGAGCAAAAGGAAATGATTATGAAGAACAAGGCAAGGCTGGCTGGTACGAGGATATACATAGAAAATGACCTGTCATTTGAGGATAGGAAAATTCAAGAAAAAATAGCAAGATGGGCCAGAGCACAAAGAGAAAAAGGAAGAGAAGTTAAAGTAGGACTAGGGAGAGTGATGGTGGATGAAAAATGGATAAGATGGGAAAGTGTACCCGAAGAGGAGCAAGTGAGTGAGAGGCAAGTCAGAGGTAAAGATGGACAAGAGAGCATGGACAAGAGTTTTTGAAAGAGGCCCAGAAGAATAAGAAGAAGGAGGTGAAGAAGAGAAAGAAAAGCAAGAAAGGAGATGAAGAGGCAGTTGCGAGGAAGGAACAAGTAGCAAAAGAAGAGTGTATGAAGGAAAGGAACATTGAGGCAGGTGGTATAAAAATGATGTGGTGGAACGTAGCAGGAGTATGGAACAAGGATGAAGAATTTTGGAATTATGTGACTAGTTTTGAGTGTATTTGCTTAGTGGAAACATGGCTGGAAGAAAAAGTATGGATGGCTTGGAAGAGAAAGTTTGGACAGTGGATTCATGTGGTGGAACTTTGCAGCCAGAAGAGAGAAGAAGAAAGGAAGAGCAAGTGGTGGTATACTTATAGGCATAAGAAAAGAATGGATTGGTGGAAAAGAATGTGAAGCTAGATGTAATGACCCAATCGCAAAGGTCATACCACCCTCGCGGCCACAGGCAGGTGAAACGCCGGGGCGGCAAGTCAACCCGGTGCAGCATCAAGTCCCGAGCGGGCATGCTGGTGTGCGGCCGCACACGTACGCCGCGACGCGCGCCGGTGTGTGTGCGCACACGGATAGAACAACTACGGAAGCCTGGTGGTGCCAAGCGTCGCCGCACGCAGCGGGCGAGCGCCGCGGTCGTGTGCGGCGCTCGCCCGCAGTATGCGAACGGAGAGTAGAGACGTTTGTTGTTTGAGTTCTTTGTCCCTGCTAACCTCACAATTGAAACAAATTTCTTGAAACGAGAAAAATGGCTAAAAGAGTAATTGAAGTCAAAGATAAAACGACTTCACGGTTTTTTGAAGTAGAGAATGATATCATATCATTATCTAGCCTCAAAACCTACTATCCTAATATCTCTGGACTTACATATACTAAAGATGAGAAGGACTTTTGCGTGTTGGTCGAAAATGAAAAGTTTAGGTGTGCTTCTGATATCAATACCTACACAATCTTCACAAAACAAGGTAAGAAATATATTTACTTATGTTTATATGTATCTCTTTTGTTTTTTATTATCATTATAACAGTCTATGCTAAGAATCGCACCTTTGCCGTTAGTTTTTAGCTTTTAGGTTCTAATTGTGCGATAAAATTTTGTATAAATAAAATATTATAAATAATCATTTTTTGTTTGTCCTTTAGGTGCATCAGAAAGTCCAGGAGCCACACTCTCGGAAATTCAAAAACAAAAATTAAGTTCAATAATGCAGGCGATTCGAAGTAAAGAAACGCCACTGCAACAGAAAGAGGTTAGTAACTCAAATATTGATTATATTTTCCTTTGTTGGGTGCATCGCGTTAAATTTTGGTTATTTTCCAGGCTCAAAAAAAAAGAGAATTTCTGACAAGCCTCATCCAATTTCACCTGTTACCCCGGCAAAAAAAATTGCTGTTCAATGGCATCACAGAGATGCTGGCTCAACTACATTCTACAAGATGCCAGGCAAAACAAAAGCTATACTAGCAGATCCAGCTGTAATATATTCAGTAGAAAATATTATTTCCATGTGCATAAGTATCTATAAAAATGATTTGAACTCGAACTATTTCGAGAAAAGCTCTGTCAAAATTGGTAAGAAGAATTTTGACATAATCGAACATTTTGGCCCAGGTGGATTTTGGGATTTTTACAAAGCAGCATGTGTGAAGGCTCATAGGCCAACTAACTTATATTTGTATACATTCATCGAGTCAACCTACATTACAGCTCCACAGACAAATGCCAAGGAAAATTCTTCAATTTTGCTGAATGTCTTGCCTTCGTGTAATTCTTTATTTAAAACTCCTCAGAATGTACAAAAAAGTGTAAAATGTTCAGTTTTGAAGATGTCCAAAGATATATCAAACTTTAAATTGTCATATGCACAGAAGAAACCATTGGAATCAGAAGAGAGTTCTCCAAACAAAAAAGTAAAATCAGAATATGTGAGGGACGTGAAGATGAACATTGCTGTTGAAGTTCCAATTGAGAAAATTCATTTTACAGAAATTCTCCTAGGTAAAGGAGCTTTCGGTGAAGTACGAAAGGCATTGTGGTGTGAAAGTGACGTAGCAGTCAAGACTATGGATGTGCTTCAAGTAGACCCCAAAAACATCATCAAAGAACTAGCAATTTTGAGCACAGTTCAACATCAAAATATAGTATTATTAATGGGATATGCTTTCGATTCATCTGAATTCCATATAATAATGGAGTTTATAAATGGATATACTCTTAGCGATTTAATATTCAAGCGCACAGTGAAGGAAAAATTAAGATTGGATGAATCAGACAAAATGAAAATAGTACTTCAAATACTGCTTGGCATTGGATTCCTACACGAATTTCCACAACCAATTGTTCATCGAGACATAAAACCCGCCAATATTATGGTCACCAAGAATAAACTTGTAAAAATTTGTGATTTGGGGGTTTCTCAATTAAAACAATTAGATACCCAATTATTGACTACTCAAGGCCGCATCAACTGTGCTGGTACGCCTTTGTATATGGCTCCAGAGTGTTATTTAGATCATAAAGAAACAACACAGTATAGCGATATGTGGTCCTTAGGATGCACCATAATAGAATTTTTTACTGGAAAACGTATATGGCACATGGAAAATTTCTCTGTTACAGATCTAAAAAATATATTGGTATCTCAAAAAAAGCCAAATATTTCTTGTGTACCAGAAATTCTCAAAAAAGATATTTTAAACTGCTTTAATTACGTACAGCCAAGCTCAAGACCAAAAGCTATAAAAATCATATTGACACTAAAAAATAGTGGTGTGACAGTACATACAGATTAATCGAAGGTTGTCATGGATGTGGTCGTTTTCAGCAACTCTTCAGCAACTCAAGATCAACAAATATTTTAAATCAAGAAAAGATAAAATAAAAAGTGATACTTAATAACATTTAATGTATTAAGAACTGCACAAAATAACGAGTTAAAATTATGTGTAAGGTGTAGTACAATATATGTGATAATATATTTAAAAAAAGATTTAATAACATTGAATTGTACGCACACAGTGATCAATAATATATTGTGTGTACATATTACTCATAGTGCCAGATGTTATGAGCTTTGCTGTAATATGATTTGATATTTTGTTCAAAAGATGTTTTTTTTAAAGCGATGTGTATATTTTAATACTTTTTTGTGCAAATAATTGAGTACAGACTATACTTACAGTTCTTTTTAGTTAAATCAAATGTCAAATTCAAGTTGTTTTCATAAACAGTTACTTTTCAATACACTTTTCAACAATATATCTAGCAATAGTTTCATCATCACCAAATGGTACTAAAATACAAAAAGTAAATTGCAAAATGCTTAAAAATGTACAAATTTAGTTTTAAAAAAATCTCAAAGAATGTTTTATAAACGTTAAGAATGTTTCATAATAACGTTAAGTTGTTGTACACACACAGAGATCATTAATAGTAATATATTGTGTGTATGGATTACTTTAAGTGTCAGATGTTATAAGCTTTGCTGTAATAAGTTTTTTTTGTTTGAAAGATGTTTTTTAAAAAACATTTTCTATATTTAAACATTTTTTTAATTGTTCCCTGAAACAGTTACTTTTCATTTCACTTTTGAACATTTATCGATGCCAATTTTTTTGTAAGTTCTTTATACGTTACGTAAGCTTCTTCAATGTTCATTGAAGTTTTCATATTTGGTTCAACCATTTTTACAATTTCTTCAATTTCAGTACTAAATAATTTTGGTTTTATAGAAAATTCTCGTAGTAATATTGTTACTTTTGTTTCATCTACCCTTTTTATAAATGATGTTCCACCATACCTTTCGGGCCAAAAATAAATAACATTTGGGATGCCACATGGTGATTTGCAATTATTTTGTTGCCTGACTCTATGTTCATTCCATTCATTCATTGATCTTTTGAGGTCTCGTTCAATCAACGTCCCAAAACAAAAAGGGAGTGCCTCAACGTGTACGTTGTTCGAAGAATCAAATTCTCCAAGATCTTCCATTTTTTTAAATACTTTCATGTAAAAGTCCGTCGTATGGTTTCGTAACTGTCTCCAATATTTTTCAATCCTTTCATTGGCTGTGCTTTTTCCCTTTAAAAAGCTTGAATACCCTGCTCTACTGTCTTGATCGTCAGACCTTAAGGCAATCTGTAATAACTCTATTAATGAGTTTTCTGAGCCTTTATCGCTCCTTACAACACTCGGAACACAATTATGTGTCAATAAAGATTGTAAGTAATAATAGGCAATTACTTCGGGCTTGTTATTGGTAGTAGCAACATTCAGCCAAATAACTCTCCTCGAATAACCATCTACGCAGCCACTGATCGTAAACCCATATCGTTTGAGCTTATCGTGACCATCTACGTGCATGATTAGGTCCAGCAACAGAGTGTTGTCGCCGTTTTAATCTATATTTAGAACGAGCTTCAATACCCTCAGGATCTACAAATCTCAACAATTTAAGAACAGTATCTCGTTTAACGACCAAATTGTAATCGGTTTTTAAGCGTTGCCATGCTGCTCTGTATCCCGAATTGAGACCTGAGCTGTATTTTAAATCTAGGAGAGCTTTTACAATTAATTCAACGTCACTTTCGATGATATACTTTCTAGAGACTCCCAATTTTTTGTATATTCTTTTAAGAGAACGCACTGATATTTTATAGTTGTGTTTAACTGCGAGGATATGACTAATTTCCTTATGGGTATACAAGCTCTTGAAATAATTGAGGAGAATATTTTCAAATTCATGAACATTTTCAATTGCTACGAAATAATAATTTAATGATTTAATTAAGTTGATAGAACTATTGATATTATATTCCAATTATAATTGTATTTACCTTTATAATTCAGCACTTCATACTCTTGAAAGTTTGTGTTTAGATGAAAGTAATTGTTTACAATTAGAACTGTTATGTTCTTTCCATTCATCAAATAATATAAGCCACAGGCGTTATAAAAATAACGTTCTAAGTAATCCATACTTAAAAAATTGTTTGTTAACTTGAAGTAAAACGAGTTATTCTTACGAGGATCGGTTATTTTAATTTCCATCGCTAAAAAATGAGCCTTGTTGAATGAGTATAGCTCGATTCAGTGGTAGATACATTAACTTTAAAATCGCTCGCGTACTGCGGGCGAGCGCCGCGGTCGTGTGCGGCGCTCGCCCACTGCGTGCGGCGACGCTTGGCACCACCAGGCTTCCGTAAACAACAGACGTTGGTGTGCGACTGCACACGTACGTCGCGACGCGCGCCGGTGTGTGTACGCACACGGATAGAACAACAGACGTTGGTGTGCGACG